CTTTTACATTTTCACCATAAATATGATATTAGCTGTGGGTTTTATTGGTCATATATGGTCTTTATCATGTTGATGTATTTTCTCTCTGTACCCACTTTGTTGAGAGTTTTTATCATGAATGGATGTTGGATTTGTCAAATACTTTTTTCTGTATCTATTAAGATGATCATATGATTTTTATCTTTGGATTTGTTGATGTTGTCTATGACATTGATTTTTTTGTGTGTGGGGATATAGAACCAACCTTGCATTCCTAGAATACATTCCACTTGAGCATGATGTATAATCCTTTAACATATTGTTGAATTCAGTTTGCTAATATTTTGTTGAAAATATTCACATCTATTTTTTTCAGAGATATTGGCTTGTGATTTTTTGGTATTGTCTTTGTCTGGTTTTGCTATCAGGGTACTGCTGACTGCTTTCATAGAAAGAGTTTGTAAGTGTTATTTCCTTTTCAATATCTCTGGAATATTTTGAGAAGGATAGGTATTAATTGTTTGGTAGAATTAAATGTTCAGTAGAATTTACTTGTGAAATTATCTGGTCCTGAACTTTTGTCTTTTGTTTGTTGGGAGTTTTTTTTTTTTTTTTAAATACTATTTCAATTTTCTTGCTTGTAACGGATATGTTCAGTTTTTATGCTTCTTCCTGTTTCATTCATTGAAGGTTTTATGTTTCTTGTATAGATCTTTTTCTGGAGATTTCTTCTATTCTTTCATTTGGGACCTGTTCCTTTGTCTGCCTATACTTGCTGTCTCTTTGTGTTTGTTTCTGTGTATTAGATCAATTTGCTTTGACTCTAGTCTTCTGTATTCCCTCATTTATTTTACTTTCTGTGTTTATTTCTAAGAATTAGATGAAATGGCCACCTCTCCTGAACTTGATGAAGAGGCTTTGTGTAGGAATGATCTTTGTGTAGTCTGTGAGTGCTGTGCGGCTTCAGCAGGCTGGCTGAAATTGAAGTGGTTGTATGAGGTACCAGGGGTTCCCTGGCATGCAGGCTAGCCACAGTTGAGGCAAACATGACCAATTTTCTCAGTGTGCCCAGCTCCGTGGGAACCCTGGTAGGCTGGATGGCTGGGTTTAGTGAAGCCAGTGGCATATGGCTGCAGCATTGCCATGGCAGTTTGTCTGTCTGAGCCTGGGGTGGGTGTGGGGTGAGTGGCCTAGGGCACGCTATGGTGGCCTTGCAGGTGAGCTACAGCACTTGAATTGAATTCTTGCCCATGCTATCAGTGGAAGAGAATGTAAACATTGGCACTCACAGACACCTCCAATCCCAAAGAGTATCCACAGAGCCTGGAGAGTTCTTGCAGTTTCTCAACCTTCTCTACACAGTCTCTCTCTCTCATTTGTTGTGCAGAAGCTGTTCAGTCAACCCTCAGATGTTTTTTAGGAGGAAATGCTCTTCATGTAGGTGTATATTCTGAGTGTTCATGGCAAGGTGTCAGTTCAGGGTCTTCCTATGCTGAAATCTTGGACCTCTCTCCCTAAATCACTTCTTTCAGGCTGGATGATTGATAGAATTCCTGAGTCTGGTATTATTGTCCAGAATATCCATGAAATAGCCTTAAGATTCCTATTTATAATCCAGAATTAACCTTATATAGTTACTTATATGAGTGTCCATGTTTCTGACATGTATGCGTATGACACCTTTTGCTCTGAAATCATATTATACGTTCTAGTAGAATATGCTATGTGTAACCGGCTGTGAGGGGCCCTCATCATCACCTCGCTGACTCTCCCAGGGAGCACCTGCCCCACAGTGGGAGAAGTACAACTGGGCTGTCTGCTGCAAAGATATGGTCACCCTCTTGAGTAGCTCATGTTGATGTATTTAATGTTGCTGGTGAAGTCACGTTCACCTGGAATTGTTTCAGAATTATTCTGACTGTGGTCCCTGATTTTTTATTAGTTTTCAAATTTTATTACTTTCAGTGTTAGAAAAATTCCTGATTTCTCAATGCGCTTTCTAGCTCCCTACCCCCAAATGTGTTAGGAGACAACATTTTATGGATATCTGGTCCAAACTTCATACTCATCTATCC